CCCATTAATAATAGGAACATGACCTGTGCAAAGTATGTGTCTAAGAAAATGGGAAGCTGTCAATAATCAAATAATGCTTAAAGATCAGTATCCTAAACATTAGCAGAATACTGATACTAGCCATTTTGAAATGAAATTGGGAAAGACAAACTGAAGAGAAACAGTGTTGTATTCACTGAAAAAAAGAGCATTTCAAGAAGTACAGCACTGTCAATGACATGAAATACCCATATGCTTATAAGGAAGATAAGTTAATTTAGCTATTTAAATTTACACCCCAGCCACTACTGCCATATGAAAAAATTGAAGATTTTTTTTAACAACCTTTAGAGTTTAAAACTGATTAAATATGCAATCAAGATGTACTGGGCATTACTGGTTACTGAAAAATGAAGTTGGAAACAAAAAAGGATTAGTAGTTCAAAAATATGGTCCTGGTGACAGAAATTATATGTTATGATCTTAAAAGACTTTGTAATGATCTATTTATTCACTGAAAATGGCTGTTTTCAACAACAGAAACAGTGATTACACACATGGGCCTTGCCAGATAGACAGAATACACAGGAATCAAATCAATAATGTTATTAGTCAGAACAATGCTAGGGGCCAAAAGCAGCAGAACAGAATACACAGGAATCAAATCAGTAATGTTATTAGTCAGAACAATGCTAGGGGCAAAAAGCAGCAGAACAGACTATCACTCACAAAGAGGCAAGTTGAAGATAAAGAAAATGAAAACAAACCCATGAAAGGCAAAGTATAACTGTAAGTATATCCCACTTGAATTAGGAGTTCAGCTCAAGAATAGCAATGATACAAAGAACACCAATGATCAGAAGATCAGACAAGTTGTGGGATGTGACATGAAAGCTTATAAGTGCTGCATCTAACCTCAATTCCCTGACTGGCTAATCGGATCCCATCATGGAAAATAAGTACAGTATTACATAACAGCCAAACCCTGAGAATTATGGCCTAATAAGATAATGCATATTTTCAGGACAGAATTCAATCCATGACACTGCTCAATAAGCACCATCATAAAAGATGGAGAAAAGATTAATATTACCAAGGAATTCAGTTCACAATCAATACCCAGGAAATCAAATTATTTATTACTGCATTATGAAAATCTGCTGCAAAAGAACTTTTTAAAGTGTTGAATAGACGGCCATTTTGAGGAGTAAGGTGTCCATGATCCATGCCATGGTATTTTCACTTTAAATGCAAGTGAAGAAGGAAGACCAAAGATGAACTGATGTCTGTGAAGCATGGTGTTGGCAAAGAACGTATTAGGGACTGCCAGAACAAATACTGTATGACTTCGCTAATTTAAGAATAGACTAAAAGTTTAACAATGGTTTACCAGGGTTAGGGAGGAGGGAATTGAAAGAGTTATGGCTTATACAGTGATTTGGTTTTTTGGTTTGGAGGTTTAAGGTCATGGTTATACAACATTCCAGTAAATGTGTCTAATTTGTTTAGTACTTCTGTTCTATCTCTGAGTTTCTTGTGTAATGTACAAGGTCTGAAGAGCTTGCAAAGAGCCATTGAAGACACAACAACTGTTCTCTCTTTGCTTCTATTAACAAAGGATCAATAGTTAGAAACAGAAGAAGAAATGGGTAACTGTCTTTATTATTAATCAGTAGCAAGTGTTAATCAGTCATGGGACCAGAAGAATGAGATGGACTTCTGGCTACCAATAATGAATGTTTTGATCAGAGTTTACAAAAGAATCTTCAAAAAGAGGGATGATATGCAGAACAGAATTTCAAATTCTTATGGACTCCAGACCTTCTGTACTTTGGAGAGTTTGGATGAACCCTTTAAACTATTATCCTAAGATAATCATGTGAGACCTCCATTAAAACTCTAAAGTGGCCCAGCTTTCCACCATGGAAGCAGTTCTGACCTCCTTTATTACCCTTGGGTGGCACTGTATATGAGTAAGACTTCCTTTTCCTGACACAGGCCCTAAACTGGCAGCAATAGCTGCCCCAATAATTTTGGCCATTCTCTGGTCTTTTCCCTTCCCTCTAG